AAAAGCATTGCCAAACCCATTCACTTTGCGCCCGAACGAACCGAACAGGAGCCCGCCAGGTCGGTACATCAAAAGCGCACACCGAATGAATCAAACCAGTTCCCACCAGGTCGGTACATCAAAAGCATGGACCGCTTGTAACGGCCACAAGTTGGAAGGAGGGGGTCTGTAGCGCTGGTGATTGAATCTGAGCACTTCAGCAGTTCTCCCAAACTTTTGGGACTTCGTGGGGTCAACCGGGACTCTGCGAACTCCTAAACTTTGGACCTCCTCGAACTTACTTAGACCTTTGGGCTTAACTTCCTGACCGAAGTTAACCGCCGTCATCCCCCGAACACATCGCACCCTCATTATGAATGTATACAAGCTCAATTTCCGGCCCGGTACAGTCAAGATGGGGGTGCGTTATGTTCGGCGGAAGATGGTAGGACAAAGGGTCTTCAATCCTAGTACTCCCTGGGACCACGTGCAATGTTACGGAACACGCCGAGACTTTCGGGACTTCATGACACTTCTTGAGACCTGTGTTCGGTAGCAAATTGCCCCGCGTGCGCTGGGCGGTGCGTGCCCATGGAACTGGCCTGTCACCAACATGGACCTGGGATCGATGTCTCCGCAGGCAGCTTCCGCCAGGGTTGCTTGCACCTCCTACTCGGTCCCACACTTTGTACCAACCCCCAACAACTACCTCGAGGCTCAGACTTCCCAAAATCCCTTGTGGGATCAACCACCACCAGTACACCGGGGCCTGGAGGCGCTGCACTGCGCCCGAAGCTCGTTCCCAAACCCCCCAGCGGCACACTTTATTTCTTTTCTGGCTGGCGCCACAAGCCATTGTTGTTCGGTAACCCAAGCCGCAAAATGTTCGGGGTAGGCGACGAACAACTCTCTGCAAGGCTGGGGCCGTGTACTGGTAGTGGCTTAAGCTTTGGCAGCTAGCGGGCCTGATGACCAGCAAGGCGGTGTGGCCCATTGTGTCGCACAGAACAAGCACCCCCCTCAGGAAAAGAAAAAGAAGAAAACACTTAAACAGTTGCACACCTCTCTGATCTCAGCGCCTGGCCAAAAGGTTCCCATAACTGCCCGAGAGTCCCACAGAACGGTCGGCACTAGGGGACTGGTCGTGCTCTCCGAAGCTTTGCCAGATCACGGGCTCTCGATGGCCGACAAGCTCGCACCCCATTGTGTTGTTGCGCAAGAACAAGGTACCTTCTCAAAATACTCAAACGGTTGCACACGCCGCTGATCGCAGCGCCCGATGGGCCCGGGACGTCTCCCAGAGGTGCCACCACGGCGGTTTTGGCCAAAAACAATTCTGTGGCCAAAAGGCCCAAAAGGGGTTTCTTTTTCTGGAGAATGATCAACACTACTGGACAACCAACCGCTTTCACCCAAATAGAACGCCTGGTCATTATAGCTGTGCACCTGGACTGAAAGTCACCCTAAATACGGCTATTATAATGACCGGGCGTTCTATTCTGGTGAAGACGGAAGTCCCGCTTCCAAGACATCCATTGATAATGCTCATTCCTGAGCCTCAGACCACCTGAGCCTCAGACCATCTCAGCCATGCTTCGTCAACAAAAGCGCCCCCCCTTTTCACACCGTGATGGCTGGTATTTTCGTCTCGACCCTGCTCGGGACTGCTTGGGACTTCTGGTAAATTCTTGGGGCTGTGGTTTGCAGCAGGCCGCCTGTTCCTTGGGACCACCACCATGTAGAAACCACACACACCCCATTCAGCAATGCTTCATCCGGGGAAAGGCCCCCCCTTTTCATACGAAGGTGACCAGAGGGGCTGTGGTTTGCAGCAGGCTGCCCATTCCTCGGGACCACCACCATGTGGAAACCACACACCCCAGTCAGCGATGCTTCATCCGGGGAAAGGCCCCCTTTTCACACGGTGGTGGCCAGGGGGGCCTACTCATCGAGACCCTGCTTGGGACTGTTTGGCACTCCCTGGAAATCCTTGGGGCAGTGCTCTGCAGCAGGGCATCCTTTCCTTGGGAAAGGCATGAGCGCGCCAAACCCCTATCATAATGGGACGTGGCACTAAATGGGTGAATTCGATAAAAAATTCAAAATCAAATCAAATCAAATGTGCATGGGACTAAATGGGTGAATTCGATCAAAATCAAATCAAATCAAATGTGGAAGGGAAAATAAAATAAAATAAAATAAAATCAAATCAAATAAACTCAAATAAAATCAAATCAAATAAAATCAAATCAAATCAAAATCAAATCATGGCAGGCCATTCATGGAAGTTGGGAATTAGGAGATCAATGCTCGTCGCTGTAGTAATCCGTGACCAAAGCGGAGAGAAGAGAAGAAAAGAGGAAAAAAAGAGGAGAGGAGAGAAGAGAAGAGAAGAGGGGAAAAAAAAGGAGAGGAGAGAAGAGAAGAGAAGAGGAAAAAAAAGAGGAGAGGAGAGAAGAGAAGAGAAGAGGAAAATTTGGCAGGTCCACAGGGAACAGGGAACGCTTGGGAAAGCGCCATGACACTCGACAATATGGCCCATGAGTTCTGAGTCGTTCTGACTCGTAGACCATGGAAAAGAATTTTAGTGAAGACAAAGATGAAAGGTGTGCGTCCTCTGCTCCCCCCATGCCCACAGATATGTCCTGGAGTCCCCAGCATACTATTGTCCAACGAGCGCACGATTACCTGTTGGGACCTGATGAACAACTCAAAAGTCCTCCATTGCGCATGCTGTGACGACATAGTACCGTACTGACACTACCGTTAGGGTGGCAACGATCACCTGTTTCGCTCGGCTGGAAGAGGGCGGTTGAATCCACCTGCATGCAAACACAATCACAATCAACACAGCAAGCCACAAACCCCCGCCCTCCCAAGCCGATTACCACGACCCAATAATGATGATATCCACCAATAGATTGACAAACAGGTTGAAACAGCCATGAAATCAGTCAGATTATTGACTCAGATATATGTTCTATGTGTGTGCATGCCCAGCACGCACATGCTTGTGTGTGCATGTCAACACATACACACACACACACACACACACACACACACACACACACACACAGAGAGAGAGAGAGAGAGAGAGAGAGAGAGAGAGAGAGAGAGAGAGA